CAAAGCAAAGCCATGACATGAATGAAAATACTACCTACTTCTAATTTAGGAATAGTAACTGAAGACAAAAAGTCTAATGTCAAATAAATGTGCATAATCACAGAAACTAAAGGTTGTATTTTTTTCCATTAGTTTCAATAGCTCAACAGTTTTTGAAACCAAGCCTACCAAGAAGTCTTTAACTAAAGAAGAAACCAACTTAAATCAAATCTATCTCAAAATATATCATAAGAATGGTTATATAGGACTTGTCATATATTATACAGAAAAACCTTATAAAATATATGACTGATTTTCATAAGCCTCATACATAAATCAATTTTACTACATTGACGCCACATTTTAAATATATTGTATTATCACTGATTATAATAAAAAACTATTCCCATAAAGTTATATTATATTGTATTAAACTTACATTATATTAACTTAATCTTATATAATATTTCCCATTACTTTTGTATACTCCCACCAAGAACATTAAGCCTATCTACTGAAAGGTTCAACACATATTTATTAATCAGTGCTTTGGAGTGTATATTCACGTTGCAGAAAGGACTACTAATAAAATGGGAGGTATCTTTTTATTTGACAGATGGGTTTTCATTATTTTAAAAATTTTACATTGAAATTGTATGAATATATTTTATGTTATACTATACTGTGTTTGCATCCTAAGTCAAATTTTTATAAAAGGAAGCCATATTTGGGGGTGAGGAGCGGGAGTAGAAAGGCAATCAGAGTCAAAGCACAGAGAACATTTTAACTTTGCAACCACCCTAGGAAGGCTAGCGATTTTTTTTAACTGTCAGTTGGGACACACAATCTCCACAGTTTGGACAGGGCACATTTTCTTCAGTCTTTAGTCTAATAATACCTCTCTGTACAATTTTTGCTCTTTCCAAACTGGGAAGAACTGATTTTTCATTAAAATCAAAGGAGGCATAAAAGATGACAGAAGAGTTGGGTAAAATAAACAAAGCTCCCCCCTCCCCACACGTCCATTCTGAACTTGGAGACAAGATAAACTATTACCTGTCCAAAGTCCCAAATTAATCTTTGACTAACCTCAAATCTTCCAGCCTCTGCCAGGGACCTAATATATTACCTGCCTCTATAATCTATTCACTCTAAGACTGAAAATACATGCCACATCTTATTTTTTGGCAATCTTAAATACAGCCTCAATCATAACTCATCAAAATGTAAGAAAATGCTAATGAAAGCCATCTCCAATCTTCCTTTCTCACTGCATTTTAAAATGCTATTCTCTCTGCAAACCTCACACACTTGAAAAATGTCCTGAAAACACTCTATATGGACTATATGAGTATTCCTGTTTCTGAAGAAAATCATTATAATCTGTTTTAAACTATTGCAACGCATCTAATTTT